CCGCCTGCAGGGGCGCGCGGGCGACCCCCGGCTTGGGGCGCCGGCCGCCCCCTCCCCGTGGTGAAAGCCTGGCTGGCAGAGGGGGCTTCAGTTGACGGGGTGGCACTGCCCCGAAGGACCGGGCCAAGGCTTTGGGGCCCTGCTCGAACCCCCAAGCTTGCTCGCCCAGCTTCAGCAAGCGTGCCCCTTGCTACGTTTGTCACCACCTGTTTAGACTACTGCGTGGGGCTGCCCTTGAAGACCGCTCAGGGGCTGCGGGTCCCGGAAGGCCAACCCTGTGGACCCCACACTGGTTACCAGCGGGTTTCCAGGGGCTGTTGCAGTGTTGGCGCTCAGCTAAAAATTAGCTGAAGGGTCCCCGTTTGGCCAGTTGGGTCTACCAGGAGTAAGGGGTGGTGGTTCCCCACTTCAGGGAGGGGAGAGGCTCTGAGGCGCGGCGGGGCTGCTTTTCAACGGTGCCCCCGGTTCTTGGAGCGGCTGACCTGCCGCTGGGCTTGGCTGGGCACAGCTTGGCTCCCACCCGGCTGCCTTCCGGAAGCAGCTGAAACCGGAGCTCTTCCAAGAGGCACCTGGGCTGTCGTTCCCTCTTGGCTGGGTTAGGGTTTGGTTTGATTAATGAATGGCTTTTTAATGGGCTTGCGGATTTGGGGCACCTTTGATGTCCGCTGTGGGTTTTATCAGATAAGCGAGTCTTTTGGCATTGTGGCGGTCTGTAAACGTGGTTAATAAATGAATAAATGAATAATAGATCCGGTCTGGATGGAGTGCGGGGGGAGACAGGAGCCTGGGACTTGTAGCTGAGGGGGGCACCGGGCTAATTGCTGATCAGTGAAAAATCTCGGGCTGGGGGGTGGGGAGAGGACTGGCGGTGTCTTTCTCCCCCATCCCCCATAACAGAACTTTGATTTTTGGAGGACGCTCCGAAGACGGAAGCCACTGCAGCTGTTCTCCAGTCCAACGAGTGGCCAGTCCTTCATTTCACCATCTGATCCTTTGCTTAGAATGAAGCAGTCGCCCCGTTCCTGGGTGAGATTTGAACCCAGGCCTGGGAAAAAAGGCTTTGGGGAAGCCTCCGGCTGCTTCTCCTGGAGGTTCCCCAACTGCTCTCTGCTGCAGGGAGCTGCAGGGTACCCCAGAAGGGAACTTTGCCCCTTCCGCCGGTGGATTTGAGCAGAATCGGGGGGTCGGAGAGAAAGTTGCATTGCTTGGAACCAGGGCTGGGTTCCTTCTTATTTAGTGCTTTTGGAGCAAAATGTAGGTGCAAGCTGAGCTTCGGCTTCTTTTGTCCTGGGTTGGGCAGTGGCCCTCCACAGGTGTAATGGTAGTGGGAAAGTCCATGGGAGAACGGGCCTAGGGACGCCACCAAGGGAACGGTCAGATAAGAGGGGGCACAGCCCACAGCTGCATAAGGGGTGGAGAAGGAGGCTCAGAAGGGGCCCTCCCTAGTTTCTCGGGCTGTAAAGGGGACGGCGGGAGAATTGTACTTTCCATCGTACAAAATTCTGTTTACAATAAAGTAGAATTAGCTGCTCTGGTCGCATTTCCTGTCTGATCTACCTGGTGAGGCTGACACAGGAGACCAGCGCGCGGTTCTTACTCACTCCTCAACTCTGCCGCTCTTCCCCGCAGGAGGCTCGGATGGATCGCGGCTTTACGACTGCGTCTGGCGGTACAACTCCAGCGTGAACGAGTGGACAGAGGTGTCCCCAATGTTGAAAGCCCGGGAGTACCACAGCTCGGCGGTCTTAGATGGGCTTCTCTACGTGGTGGCTTCCGACAGCACCGAGCGTTACGACCACACCCTGGACGCCTGGGAAGCCTTGCAGCCTATGCTCTATCCCATGGATGACTGCTCCACCACCACCTGCCGCGGCAAGCTTTATGCCACCGGATCTCTGGCCGGGAAGGAGTCCATGGTCATGCAGTGCTACGACCCCGAGACAGACCTGTGGTCTCTGGTGAACTGTGGGCCGCTGCCCCCCTGGTCCTTTGCACCCAAGGCGGTCACTCTTGGGGGGCTCATGTACTTTGTAAGGTAAGGGCAGGCTCAGGGAGGCTGCAAATGCAAATCCAGGAGCAGAAAGGCCCCCCCCATTAGGGCACCGGGGACCAAGAGCAGGGTCTGAAAGCAGGTGTTATCTTTTATTTTATTTTATTTTATTTTACTTCACTTCACGCTTTATTTTGTTTTATATTTTATTTTATATTTTGTTTTATATTTATTTTATTTTATATTTTGTTTTATATTTTATTTTATTATATTTTAATTTATTTTAATATATTTTAATTTATATTGATTGATTGACTGACTGACTGACTGATTGATTGATGCAACTTCTGTAGCCGCCCATCTCAACCCACGTGACTCTGAGCGGCGAACCATTTCAGTCAGTTGCAAACGATACACAGAGGCAGCCGAGAATTACCATCAACATTACCTAAAAATCAACAGGGCCACCAGGTAACGGGGCCCTTAACACCTTCGGGACCCCAAGCTTTTCTTTTTCCAGCTTCGCTTGCAACTGGGGGGTATGGTATGACCTGGGATGGCTGTAAAGGTAGGAAGGAGGGGCATTTTTGGAAAGAGGAGTCAAACCCCAGGGCGATTGCAGAATGCTGATTTCTACCCACTGGGGGGGTTAGTTTTGGTGCAGCCTGGTGGGCTGCGAGCTGGTGAAATAAAGGGGGAGACCAGATTGGCAGTCATTTTTGATCTAGCTTAGTGTTTCTTAACCTTGGCTGCTTTAAACTGCATGGACTTCAACTCCCAGAATTCCCCAGCCAGCCATGTTGATGTTCACGCAGCTTAAAACAGCCAAGGTTGAGAAACACAGAGTTTTCTAGCCTTAAAAGAGCATTTTTTAATTAAAAAAAAAAGGGACAGGCTGCTAAAAGGAGAACCAAGGTTACCAAATGAGGAGCTTTGCAGGTCTGGCCTTACAGAGAGCAATCTATAAAAATAGCACCAATTTTCCAGAGGTTCTTAAGGTTATCTTTTTTGTGTGTGGGGGGGGGGTGTTCCTGTTCCTTTTATCGAGAAGCCAGCTCTTGATAAAAACCAGAGAGGGAATCACGCGTTCCCTCTGCTCACTCCCCACCGGCTTTCCAGAGGTGCTGCGTTTCAGTTCGGGGAGCATCCCCGACTCAGATGGGGAGAGGGGGAAGGAAGGGGCTCCCCCAGGGTGTTTTGGGGCGATGCTTATCTTAATCCTCCCCATTTCTGGGCCCAGGTCTCCCTTTTCTGCTCTCCGGGGAAGACGTGACTCACGCCCCATTTGTCTTATCGGCGTGGGAGGCCTGCCTGGCGGGCACTCGAGGCTTTTAGCCAAAAATGGTGCCCTTCAGCGGGGCCTGGAAATCATTCCTCTGGGTCTGTCGTTCCATTGGGATATATTTATGGGCAGTTGGTTGCCCCTCCGTTAGCGTGCAAGTGTTGACGGGCACTCTCTGTCAAGCGCCAGGGCTCCCAAGCGTGGGTTGCAGGCCGGGGTCCAATGCAGACCTTCCCGCTCGCTCTCCTCTGGGGTGGGGCGGGCAGGAAAGCTTCGGGGCTGAACCCCCTCTTCCAGCTTGGCTCGCCCTCTCAACGAGGGGGAAAGCCATACAAGATATTTGAGGTGCCTTAAGGGGTGGAAAATCTACAAGGGCAGCCCCAGTTTTGCTCCAGAGTCCCCAGCTCCTCCCCAAACACAGAGGGAAGCCGAAGCATTTGGCTCGACTTCCTGCATTCCAGCCTCAGGCCCTGTCACAGCTTTCCCCAGACCGGCCCTGTTTGCGAGTGCTGGGAGGGCCCAAATTCCCAGCTGGCACTGGAATTCTGGGAATGCTAACAGTATGGCCCCCTGCCATGTTCTGAAGGCACCCGATTGCTTTCTTTCACCCCCTCGCCTCGGGTGCTACTGTGGTTATCTGGAACAAAAGAGGTGGATTTCGGAGAGGCACGTGGGGGTTGGACTGGATGACCTCCGAGGACCCTTCTGGACTCTTACAGTGGGGTGGACCAGATGACTTCCTAGGCTCCTTCCGTCCAGGACGTTCTGTGATTCTGTGCTTTTATTTGGAGTCCTGCAGCGGGCGGGGGGTTGGTTTGGATGACCTCCAAGGTCCTGCCCAGCCCGTATATTCTGGGGTTTGTGAGATGGGCACTGTTATCCGTGACTATCACTGCGTGCATATTTAGTGTTATTGCATTGCCTTTTTTCTTTAATTGAGGGTTAATTTGATGTACCGCCCAGAGTCGCTGGTGCCAGATGGATGGCCGTCTCAATTGATTAAATGCATAAACAAACAGGCTGTGATCTTAAGACAATCCTTCTAAAATAGAACTGGGTCTGTGCTATTCTAAACCCAGACAGAAATCTGGGCGGCGCCCAGCTCCCCTTTCTTGTCAGCGACCAACAAGGAGCTGTGGCATTTTTATTTTGTTTTTATATTTAAGTGCAGCACAAAACCTATTTGACCCTCTCCCCCCACTGCTCTGCTTGGGCTGAGAAAGAGCGATCGCTTGCAAGTGGCACTGTGTGGGTTTGCCAGAAATCCAAGCAGGAAGCAGGGCTGGAGAAGAACCTTGATTGCGCTAATAACTACAGCCTGCAGATTAAGGACCCCCTTTCCTCAGCTTCATTGCCGGCCAACTCCAGCTTTCTTTTCTTCCATGCGCACAGCCGGACGCGCCCCTTCTTCCAGCAGAAACCCCCCAAGAGGTGGGATGGAGCAGCCAGGCTCAGAAGGACAGGACAGGACAGGACAGGAAAGGGGGGAACAAAACCGAAGTGAGAATAGAAGTCACTGGATGGGAGAAGCGTGGGGGGATATTACGAAACAGGCCTGCAGGCAGAGTGCTCCGTCCCAATTCAGTTTCCAAAGGATCCGCGCTTTTTAGCCAGTGGCCGTCGCTCTGTGTGCGTTTCTGATCCATTTCTTTCTTTGCAACGTCAACGTTCCCCTTTGCAAGTTATTCAGAGTACAGATTTTTTAGGCACGTTTGGAGCAAAAACGACCCTCCTTTTCCCCTGTCACCGAGACCCCTTTGCGGGCAGGAGCTGCCCCAGACAAACCAGGAATGCACGCTTGGAATTCCTGTTGGTGGGACTCCTCCTCCCCCCATAAGCCTCTCTGACATGAGCAGCCGCTCCCCACAGATTCCCCCGCGCAGACCTTGAGCCCTGCTTTCAGTGGCTGGAGCGCACCAGAGCCGGGCTAAAGAAATGCCTTGAATTCCTTGTCGAGCCCAAGAAAAACCTGGCCACTGCCAAAGCGGACGGAACGAGGCCCAGTTCTCCTCTCCCCCTTCTTTCTCTAGGGCATAATTCTTCTCCCAAAGGTCTTTCTGGCAGAAAAAGCGCATGTCCCGTGTGGCTCGGATGCTGGATAAACGTGGGCTGGATCTGTTTTTGCCTGCTTAATGGGCTCGTCTCTGGTTTAATTTTGGCCTTGCAGTTGCGGCCACTTGGAGGGGTTCGCATCTGTGGAGTGGAGATGGCAAATGGGCTTTTCTCGCCACCCCCTCCCTCCCCCCGGCTCACCTGTTGCTGTTGCGCTTCGTGTTTCACAAACAGAACCGGCCGAAGGAACATTCCATGCCTGGAAGATTGCCCACAGCTCTTCCAGGACGTTCTTGCTAAAACCAGCCCCTGATTTTACATAACACGGGCACTCCCGTGTGCCCTCCATGATGGTTTGTAAGCAGCCTTGCCTGCCAAGGACAGGAGGAAGAACTTGGGTTTCCTGAAAGAGCTCCCCTTTTCTGCACGTGCGCACTGCATGCACCCTAAAATCTGGATTAATAAGAAGTCTGTTCTGTTAGTAGTGAAAAGGGCCGCCTCTGCTCCGTGTTTCCCTGTGTAAGTTGGTGGTGGTAGGTGTGAAAACATCCAGAAATGCATGCTTGCTGTTGATAACGCCACCCTTGGCAGAAGTGCCATTCTGGAGGAATGTGCTGCCGGGCGGAAAAAGGACACACAGATTCTCCCGCTCCGCCTCCCAAATGTTAGGAGGTTTCCATTAACTAAGTTTGTTTACTTCTTGCTCAAGGTGCTCATATGATCAGTGCTGTTGAATCTGTCGGAATCTCTTGGGGAAAAAATCCTTTTTCCTTCTGCATAAGGGGAGGATTCAAAACGTGGAGTTTGGCCTTTGATTTAAAGCCATAACCAAAGTTGAGTTTGGACGGGGGTTCTAGGTTCATCAGCATTTTGGTCTTGTTTGGAATCCCGCAGCAGATGAGGTGACTTGACAGTTCGGTCTTGTTTATAATCTAGAAACGAGTCTATTTCTTGAGGACTAGAAACCATTGTGTGGAACCTCACAAATTCAGGATTCTCAATCACAAGGGAGCCAGTGCAGCTAGCTAAAGCCTCCTTGTTTTGGACAATTCCTTTACAACTTCCTGGGGGGAACAGAGAGTTGGTGGAATCAGGGCAGAAGCAAAATGCATTACATTTCTACTTACTCTGGTTTAATTGTTCTGAACTGATTACGTGCCGTCAGGTCAGCGTCGACTCCTAACGACCATAGATTTCCAAGAACAAACGTTATCATGGTCAGTAACCAGCGCAGAGAGAGATTTTCCCCAGGAGGATCCGTCCCCAGCCTGGCCCTTCGGGTCTTCCAGTGGTGCCCCCATTGCCACAGCAACTGAGTCCCTCCACCTTGCTGCAACGAAATACCTCCAAAGTTCTTTTCAGCGATTTCTCTTCCTCTTTCTTCTACAGAGATGACTCTGCCGAAGTGGATGTCTACAATCCAGCCAAGAACGAGTGGGACAAAATTCCTCCCATGCTCCAGGTAGGGGTCTCAGAACCTTTCAAGGAGAATGCGAAGAGCTGGTCTGCGCCGGTGGGCGAAGATTGGAGTGGATGAAGGGCTTAACGACATATGCGCAAGAACGTGGTGACATGGAAGAGAAGGCTCTGCCCGGTGTGGGTTTAGGATGCTGAGTCTGCCTTTTGATCTCTCTTGAGACTAGAGAGAGGTATCACCCCTGTCTTCTGACAGAACAAGAAGCATTTGGAGCGCAGTGTGGAGAAAAGTGGGTACTCAACAGCCCTTCCAAAGGTTTTGGTCCTGGGGGTGCAGAAGTACAGGGTGTCCTCACTTGACTGCCGGGATTGCCGTCACTAAGCGATGCAGTCGTAAAGCATGACATCACTTGACCACATCGCTGAGCGATGGAAATCCCAGCAGCCCCTGTTGCTGTTGTTAAGTGAGGATCGCATGTCATTATGCGAGGACCTCGCGACTTCCTGCCGGCTTCCAACAAGCAAAGTCAGTGGAGAAGCTGGCAGGAAGTTGCCAGTCCCGGGTGGCTTGCAGGCAGGTTGGCAGGTAGGTAAGTGGCTGCTGTGGTGCCGCAAAAGCAGAGGGAGGCGCTAGGGAGTGTGGGCAAGGGGGTTGCTGCAGACAAGCACACGCTATGGAGTATGAGAGGAACTAATATTCTGTAGCCAGGCTCCTTAGGAGAAAAAGCGGCTGGAGCAACTTGTGACCTTCCCTGCCAGTTTCCACACTGACTTTGTCAGAAGCCGGCAGGGAAGGTCACAAATGGCAATCACATGACCATGGGACACTGCAACTGTAAGTGCAAGCACCTGGCTAAGAGCATGGATCACGATCACGTAACTGCGGGGGTGCTGAGAGCCAGAACTTCAAGGACCAGTCATAAGTACCACTCATTCAGCACCGTCACAACTTTGAACGGTTGCTGAACGAGTGGTTATTAACCAAGGACTATCTGTAGATGGTGTGGTAGTCATAACTGAGTGCTACTTACCACCAAAGCTATAGAAATATTGTTCAAGAGGATGATTTTGTAACTATTTATGCTAAAACAGGTTGCAGTCTTCCTGAATAAGTGCAACAGATGGTTGTTGCTTGTAAAGCCCTGAGTTATCTGGGCCAGCAATTTATGTATGTTTACTGTTCTTTACTGAAATGTTTCTGTTTAAATTGGCTGTCGAGAGTCTTGCATGCAGCCCAGAGTTGTGAGATTGGGGGCAGCGCAACTAAATTATTGCTAATAAATGAAGAACCGACATTGCATTTATCTTTATTATGTATTTGTTGGGCAAATAAACTACCCCATACTTGCCATTTTCTGACTAGCACAGAAATAAGTTTAATAAACCTTGTTTTTCAAATACTCAAGAACATACCCTTAGTAAGACAAGGATTGGAAGTCCCATTAAATCGGATGCATAAAAATGATTAAAGAAATTTTAGGTGGGCAGTCGGTCAAGGATTTGGCCAGTGGATTGATCAGAAATGCTAAAAGGAACTCAGGTTGGCACAGAGCGTAAATAGTGATGAAAAGTGCTTTGGGCAGATTATTTTGGTCAAAATAATGACTACAGACTAAACCAGTGTTTCTCCACCTCAGAGCCTTTAAGATGTGTGGACTTCAACTCCCAGAATTCCCCAGCCAGCATGCTGGCTGGGGAATTCTGGGAGTTGAAGTCCACACATCCTAAAGGCGCAGAGGTGGAAAAACCCTGACTAAATGGTAGATCAATCGTTTGATTCATACCTGGTTGAAAAAGCACACTTTTCAATTCTTCCAGCGGAAGTTGAAAGGCCAAAGTGTGAATTTGGGAGAAACAGAGAAAACGGGCAACCCACCACTTTATTTCTTTCCTCTTCTCGATTCCAGGTGCACGTCGGGGGAAGCTTGGCCGTCCTTGGGGGAAAGCTTTACGTCTCTGGCGGTTACGACAACACTTTTGAACTTTCCGGGACGCTGGAATCGTACGATCCGGAGACCCGCAAGTGGACCGTGGCCGGCCAGCTGCCAGAGCCCATCTTTTGGCACAGCAGCGTCAGCATCTTCCGCCAGTTCATGCCAGAGACGTTGGAGGATGACGAGGGGAGGCCGCTGGAAGATGCCTTCGACGCCAGCCTGTACAGTCAGGACTTGGATGAGCTGCGTTAATGGGGGGAGAGCTTGCTGCTGTGGCTTGAACGCGGCCGGTGGTCCTGCGCCAACCATTGGAGGGGGCAGGGCCCCAC